TTATTCTGGATTGATCTATCTTTTTCCTAGGTTTAAGTTAGGTTTCATCGAGTCTTCTATGCAAAATGTGTTCAATATGATTTTTATACGTATTATTACCTAAAATAATCTCAAAAAAGAATTCAACACAAAGCACATATGATCGCCAAAGTTTAACTCACAGCCTCTAGTTCAGAATGTACTCAAAATTTCAAATTTATGAGACATTCATGATAGTAAAAGTTCATCAATTAATAGTTATATTAATTTATTTATTGGCAAGCTTGATGATTAGGTCATACATAAAATCGGTACCCATGATGAGTCATGAGGTGTGAGTGAGTTCTAGATGTAAGTGTGGGTAAAATGGGAGCCTCGTACTGTATGAATAAAGATCTCTTAAATAAATAGTTTCGCAGTGACATTCATTTTCATTTTAGTTGTTGTGTTCGTTGTGGTATTGAATGAATACAAATATAATTGATATACTTAACAAGACTATCAGATATTTTTAATCTATACACAACAAGAAACTGGTTCTCTTCGTATTTATCGTAAGATTTTTTCCGTTTCTATATCCGACGTACCACTTATTGTGAACAGCGAATAGCGATTAAGTGTTAAAATGAATCTGGTCTTTGCAACATGGGTGTATTTGTAATGCGTTTTTGTTTTGATAAAAATGAATTATTTTACAAAGAAGACAAATGAATTTGTGAATTCGTATTTTGAGTAAAAACGCCTTTCTATGTAACCAAAGTTTTCCAACATATAGACAAACATTTCGTGATATCATACTCAAAAACATATCACTTAAAGAAGGCTGTTTTTGAGATGAGTATATGTCTATAGTACAGCAGAATGTATTTAAATGTCAGGAAAGAATGGAAATAACAAATGCAACAAGCGTAAACGAATAAAACAAGACAATCTCCATTAAAAACCACTTCGTAAACAAGTTCAAAAAGTTATGGATAACATGATACCAAGGTCAGAACTTTACTGCTTTCTTTCCATAGAACGATTACTCAAACAGTGCTTGTCTAGACTCTTAAAAGAACTTCTAGTGAACTGTGGCTGGAGTATTACATTTATTTTATTCTCAATTCATTGAGAGAGATCATTTTGGAGAGACAAATGTAGTGCACATTCGTTTATCGCCATCACAGTACTTTACTCAAATATTAGTTCAGCTGCTACTTCTTGATAATCAACTTCTTGTATAGACCAGAAAGAAATGTTAATTGCTTTGCTTTGACCAAAAATAAAACTTCAATATTTTTATAGCCTATTTCTTCGACGAACTATGTTTTCATGTACGATCAAAATGCGACTTAGTTACGCATGTTACGATCGAAAAGTCTCAGTTGTATCTAAGTTCGATTTTTTTTCAAAACCCAACCAATGAAGGAAAAGTATGAACTAATTGAATGATAAGAAAAAACTCAATAGTGTGTCAACGTTTGTTGAGAGAAAGGATGATGTGCTCGAAAGCTTACTGGACGATTAAATCAATGTGTATAGTACATTAATCTAGTAGTTAAATGAATGAAGAAAAGAGTACATGAAGGTTTGTCGCATTCTATTGGCATGCATCGTATTTATCATCATTATGAGCAAATAGCTTACGTATTGAAGATGTATTGGACGATGTAAATAAGTTTTTTTCAGTGAAGCAATATTGAATAAATCAAATAAATTGGTAGAATAGTAATTCAAAATGCAAATATTTTCGAAATGATAAAATTTTACAGCGCGTGCATCAGCTAAAAAAGTTGTAATGATTGTGCTTTATTCATTTATTTGACGTTCCTTTATAAATAAACTATTATAAAAAGTATGGCTATATATCATAAATTTATAACAGTCAGATTTTGTAGGGTTTACATTTTGGTCTCTTATGGGACCATACTGACAAGTTTCTCTTCTATTTATTACCGCTAATATCTAATTTTTCGAACATGATAAAGATGTCAAAACTGGATTTTGTTAGCCGTACTAACAGTATTTGCGTCTATAACTCTACTCTTATTAAGTATATCATTACAAACTCAAATGTGAATAAGATTTCAGTTACGAATATCAAAATACTGAATGACATGGCTGCTCTTTCTTTGGTCTTGTCTTTATTCGAAGGTTTCTCTTGATTATAGTTATTATTGCAGAAATTACAGTGAAGAATAGGATATAAATCACACCAAGAGCGACCTATGGTGTGAAAAAACGTTTACAATCACCATTCTTTTTTTCATCGTAAGTAACATTTGATGACATAAGTTTACTAGTTACTATATGAGCTGCCATATTCTTTCTTTTCTGCTATTAGCAATATAATTCGCTTTTTATGATGGTTATGGAGAATATACTGAAGGCGAAGAGAGAAATCATATAAAAGAGAACACAAGAACACGTATCAGCCTGTCGTATTGTGTTTTTTTCTGCTTCACATGAATGCTGTTCATAGACTGTGTATGTTACTTTGTAAATATTCTTTTTTTTTTCATTTAAATTCTACTAATGAGGCTGTTTGATCACTTCTGCGGATTTTCGTCAAAACGACAGCAAATAACACATCTCTTTAAACGTTAGCTTCGATTTTTCTTCAGAAAAAGACATTTATGAGTGTTGTTGCTGAGTTTCGGTTTCCAAGTAATTTTTTTTGTAATTGCATATATATATATAATTCGATAGAGCTTGGACTAGCGATTAAGACAAGCTCAATTTTAGTTCTAATGAATAACGTTTTCAGTTTGAAAAAAACCAAAAACCTTAGAGGAAGTCATTTCTGGCAAAAAATCATTATTTTCATGTTTCTGTGATTTTTTTTGTTCTGCTTCTGCAACTAATTTTTTCAAATTCAGCGTTAAAAACTGAATACGAATATGCTATTACATCGAATCTGATGCTATACTTATGTCGATGGGGGCAATCTGAATTGATAGTAATCACATGCTTATAGATCATTATCGTAAACCTATCTGGTTGTTTTTATCTAAGTGATGAAGCTAAATATTTTATCTTACATCATGCATTATACTATCAGTCATGAAAGTATA